TTTGAAACGATTAAGATTGAACTCCGTGTTGACCCAAAAAAATGTTGCCAACAGATGTCGAACCCACCCGCGCACACGTGAGCGAAGGTCCTACACACTAAGACATGTGGACGGTCTATAACGAACAGATCAGGGGCATGAGAGTAGCTCAACGACGCGAGACGAGAACGTTCGGAGTCTGGTAGGATGTTCTTAATCCGATTGTACAATAATTACCAATCGGTGCTCATAAATGTGCATATAAATATGTATGAACTCGTATTGTGTTGTAAGACAATATGAAAGAGAGAGTAAAGTATGATTTTTTGTATTGTTTCTTGCATTAGTCCTTCAATGTTACATAAGGGAAGTATTTATAGTGGTATATATGAAATGACAGCCCTTGGATGAGGTGGCATGTGGCCTCATCTCTTTAATCCAAACATCTAATCCTATGTATCATCCTTGACTTGCTAGCTTGCTGCGCATTTATTGCTTATGCAGAACTCCCACGCTAATGACAAGACTTGACATGTACACTTATGACAAACGTTCCATCAATTATTCTAACATGATCTTTATGTAGAAGATCTCTTGGGAGAAGTGGTCATGGAAGACATTCCTTCATGGTTCAGAGGCTTTTGCCACTCACGTAGTACTTCTGCTTTAGGGCTTCAGCTATCTTCACAGGGCTCGGCATATGGGCCTCGGCTTGAAGGGCCTATGCCAAACATGCCACCTCGGCTAGAGCGCCACGTGGTTAGGAAAGAGTGGGCCATATGCCCAAGTAGGTTAGTCAAATATGACAACACGTAACAATAGTCCCCCAAATCCAAGTATAGATATTTATGTAATGTGTGGACTTTAATGAAGTAAAGTCGGTGGGTTGGATAAAAATTGAAAGAATTTTTGAACCCCAAATAATAGTCCCCCAAGTCCAAGTATAGATATTTATATCATGGTTGGAGTTAGAAATGTGCTGTTGTGGGTAAATGATGAAGAAGTCGAGGTGGTTTGAAAACTGAACCTGCGAGGTTTGATGGCTGAATGTTGAAGATGAAGTCGAGGTGGTTTGAAAACTGAACCTGCGAGGTTTGATGGCTGAATGTTGAAGATGAAGTCGAGGTGGTTGGAAAATCGAACTTGCGAGGCTTGATAGCTGAAATGTTGAAGATGAAGCCGAGGTGGTTGGAAAATTGAACTTGCGAGACTTGATGCTGAATGTTGGAGATGAAGCCGAGGTGGTTGG